CCCTGTCATGAAAAGGACATCTTTGTTTGGTGTTGGTTCTAAGAAGGTCTTTTAGGTCTTCATAGAACTGTTCAACTTCAGCTTCTTTGGCATCATTGGTTGGGACATAGACTTGGATTACTGGATATTGAATGGTTTGCCTTGGAAATGAACTGAGATCATTCTGTCCTTTTTGAGATTGCATCCAAGTACTGTGTATCGGACTCTTTTGTTGAGTATGAGTGCTACTCCATTTCTTCTGAGGGATTCTTGCCCACAGTAGTAGATATAGTGGTCATCTGAATTAAATTCACCCATTCCAGTCCGTTTTAGTTCACTGATTCCTAAAATGTCAGTGTTCACTCTTGGCATATCCTGTTTGACCATTTCCAATTTACCTTGATTAACGGACCTAACATTCCAGGTTCCTATGGAATATTGAATTAGAACTCAGAGCCTCTCAGATGTTGAAACATTCAAAATGTAAAGGTGATTTATGTGCCTTAAATTTTTTTCTTATGTTTTACTTCATTTAGAACTGTGAAATGCAGTTTAAATAAAAGCAAATTAATATTTTTAGAAATTATTTGGAAAGCTTATAATTTTCACTAAAGTTCAACTATAAACATGACAGAACTAGAATGGATAAATATTAAAATCAGGAATTTAAATGTAAGTTAAGTAGTATGATATATTTAATACCACATAAATAGTTAGAATATAGAGGGAATACTGTAATTTTTAGAGAAGCTCATTAAATTTAGAAGCCTTCTCTCACTACTGAAGAGTATTAGTTCTTCTTTATTCATGGTGCATGATCCTAAGGTACTGGGAAAACATGGATGAAACACACATGCATCAAAACAAAGTAGTAGCTTGTCTATGACATCTATTATAATTTCTATAATATGTATCTATATAAAACTTTAATTCCTGATTTATAACACAATACTCAAAACATGTGTTACATATAAAAACTACTTTCATAATTGGTTGCTTGGAGACTCTCTGAATTTAGAAGAGAGGGAAATTTTTTTCATAAACAGTAGCCTAGGGAAACTGACGCTAAGGGCAGATTTTTAGTAAATTTTTATTTTATATTGGAATGTGGTTGATTAACAATATTAGTTTCAAGTGTACAGCACAGTGATTCAGTTACACATATAAATGTACCCATTCTTTTCCTTTTCCATTTAGTTTATTACAGAGTATTGAGCTGAGTTCCCTGTACTATAAAGTGGGTACTTACTGGCTATCTATTTTAAATATAGCATTGTGTACATGTCAGTCTCAAACTCCCAATCTATCCCACCCCCTCCCTTTTCTCTCCTGGTAACTATAAGTTTTTCTCTTAAGTCTGTGACTCTGTCTGTTTTGTAAGTAAGTCTTTTGTAATAAGCAATATCATATATATATGTCTTTCTTTGACCTACTTTTAGTATGATAATCTTCAGGTCTATCCATGTTGCTACAACGGGCATTATTTCATTGTTTTTAATGGCTGAGTAATATTCTGGGGGGTGGGGTGTGTGTATATATGTATAAACTTTATCCATTCATCTCTCAGTGGATATTTAGGTTGCTTCCATGCCTTAGCTATTGTAAACAGTGCTGCAGAGAACAGTAAGGTGCATGTTTTCGTTCAAACCATGTTCTTCTCTGGATATGTGCTCAGGAGTGGGATTGCTATATCATATGGTAACTCAGTTTTCAATTTTTTAAGGAACTGTACTGTTCTCCATAGTAACTGCACCAGTTTACATTCTCACTAACAGTGTCGGAGATTTCTTGAGAGAGATTAATTGCCTGAAGTATTTTTAGTTTAGGAGCAATGTGCATGTTTTACCCTTACATACTTAACGTAAGCCAGAGATTCATTTGACCTAATAAGCATGTTATGTTAAAAATTCAAAGCAGGGATTTGTGGGACTTAGTAACCGATCACATCTTGGAATGAATTTTTGCTGACGTTAGACTATTTTCTTAGAAAGTCCAACTGAGATCAGATGCTTTGAAGAACATCTTTTTTTTTGAGGAGATAAATTCTCTTGGTATGCTTTTATCATAATTTTTTTAATTAGAAAAAATTGTAATAAATTTAAGTATGAATCACTTCTCAGTTCCTCTCCCTAGAAATATTATTAATAATTTGTTGTGTCATCATCTCCTAGCAGAAGTTTTGATTTAGTGGACTACAAGAACATTTTGGACTATGCTGTAGTTTCTCTAGTGTCTTATATATGGTTTCTAAGGGCTTTATTGGGCCTTGGGAAGAGTTGCCTGTAGCTGGGTAATTTTTACAGAAGAGATGCCAGAGCAGTTTTTAAAAATTGCTGAGTTTTAAGCTGGCATGCTCAAAAGGTAAACATATTATTTCTTTCTTCTTCCCCTTCCCTCTTGTGGTATAGGTGCTCTTCCTCCCAGAAGCTAGAGATCAAATTAGTGTTGTTTAGGCTATGTTTAAGGTATGAGTATCTTAAGACTTTAGTGTTTTTAATGTCTGTGGCAGTAGCCATAATCTTTGAAGTGTCAGAAGCCCAAATTATATTGGTTTTAGCAAAGAAAAAAATGTATGGCTTATGTGACTGAAAAGTTTAGGGATTTGGGTACTCAGAAAAGTAAGAATTTCTTTTTCTCCTGATTTTGCTATCCTCTCTGGTGATACAGTTCCCAAGTAGCTTCTTTACGGTTGTGTCCTATCAATTTAACTTTAGAATAAAGAGAACATATTGATAAACAACAAGGACCTACTTACTGTGTAGCATAGGGAACTCAGTGAAATATTCTGTAACAATCTAAATGGTAAAAGAATTTGAATAAGAATAGATACATTTATAGTTATAACTGGGCCTCCCTGGTGGCTCAGATGGAGAAGACTCTGCCTGCAATGTCGGAGACCTGGGTTCGATCCCTGGGTCAGGAAGATCCCCTGGAGAAAGAAATGGTAACTGAATCACTTTGCTATGCACCTGAAACTAAAACAACATTGTTAATCAACTTCACTCCAGTATAAAATAAAAATTAAAGAAGAGAACATCTCTTAGCAAGAATTTCAAGAGAAATTTTAGGATTGACTTTGGCATGGATTTATGAATCTGGAAGTGTTCCTGTGGGACTTACCTCATGGTCCAGTGATTAAGACTCTGTGCTTCCACTGCAGCAGGCCCAGGTTCAATCCCTGGTGGGGGAACTAAGATCCCACGTGCCATAGGATGTGGCCAAGAAAAGAAGAAGGTGTTCCTGAACTGTTACATGTGGCCAGCACGCCACAACTACATAGGCATGACAAGAGAGGAGCTGTAGTTTAGGATATACTCAGTTGTACTAGAATGATAACTCCCAAATCTCATGGGCTAAGCATAGAAAAAGCTTATTTCTTGCTCATGCAAAGTCATCCACAAGGCTAGGTGATAATTCTCTAGTAGTCCATGTGGTAACTCAAGAATTCATATTATTTTCATCTTGATCTTAACGTGAATCTTCCACAGTTGCTTCAGCAGGGAATGAGGAAGCCCGAGGTTTATGCATGAGCTGTAAAGCTTTAGCTTGGTATTTACATAAAAGTTACAGCCCATTATACAGAATTAGCCTCAACTGGAAGTGGGCTGGAAAATGTATGAGATAACAAGGTTTTTTTGGTGAGCAGAAATGTGTCTGCTACAAACTGTTACAGAATAAAATAGCATATTAAGTGATGTAGGTAGACAAAGACAGCTTGTTGATTATAACCTGTAACTCTAAATAATGCTTAAAATGCTGATATACAGAAAACTGTTCAGGATTTGATACTGCTTGCTCTTTGGAATGTTCTTTGCCCAAGTTTGACTTGTTTTTGTTTAAAGTAATTCATGGATTCATGGTTTAAAATCACTGACTTTAAAAGCAATTTCTGGAATGCAATCAGTTTATAGGTTGGAGACTTTAGTTATAACCAGAATACCATAAATTAATCAATTACCTCATAATTGCTAATTTCCATGAATATTATAGTTTCAGTTCAGTCACTCAGTCGTATCTGACTCTTTGCGACCCCATGAATCACAGCACGCCAGGTCTCCCTGTCCATCACCAACTCCCGGAGTTTACTCAAATTCATGTCCATTGAGTCGGTGATGCCATCCAGCCATCTCACCTGTGTCGTCCCCTTCTCCTCCTGCCCCCAATCCCTCCCAGCATCAGGGTCTTTTCCAGTGAGTCAACTCTTCTCATGAGGTGGCCAAAGTATTGGAGTTTCAGCTTCAACATCAGTCCTTCCAATGAACACCCAGGACTTACCTCCTTTAGGATGGACTGGTTGGATCTCCTTGCAGTCCAAGGGACTCTTAAGAGTCTTCTCCAACACCATAGTTCAAAAGCATCAATTTTTCGGCGCTCAGCTTTCTTCACAGTCCAGCTGTCACATCCATACATGACCACTGGTATATCTCAAATTATTTGTGATGATGGACTAGATTCTTTTAAAGTGTCTACTGATGCTTTTATAAAATACAAAAAATTTTGAATACTTGAAAAATGATGTAAAAAGAGACATGAAATACCCTACATTTTTTGCTGTTAGATTCAACATTTATAAAATTACTCTCAACTTCTGTACTTAGCTTGTTGTGGATCAGTAATGAAGAGTAAGTGGACTTTTACTTAGTCCATGGATCATGTTTTGAGGAGCATGCTATAAAGGACTGTGGTTAATGCTTTGCAAATACTGTCTACTTTAATTCTCATAGTCATATGGGTAGAGGTCACTGTTACCATCACTCACAGAAAACGGGGCATAGAGAGGCAATAAGTTGCTCAGGGCCATACAGATGTCACATAAAACCCATGTGGTCCAGTTTGACTCCAGAGTCCGTGTGCTTGCCTGCCTTTGATTTTGCAGAGATGAAATGATAGATGATCATTTTACTGTCTTAATTACTTTACATCATTAAATTCTTGGTTTAATGAAATTGGAGACTTTTGGAATATAAGTCAATTTCGACAACAGCATTTTTAACAGATTTTAAAAAATCTTCTTCCTATAGAAATCTGGTTAAGAAGTACTGTCCCAAACGTTCCTCCAAAGATGAAGAGCCAAGGTAAATTATATACCTATTTATTATTGCTTATGAAAATTTAAAAGAGTATATTTTTGTTATTTAGTTAAATAAATATTATACCATTAGCTTTTTATAAAAATTTTAATAAGATTTGTATCATAATAAAAAATTATGAAAGAGGAAAGTACTTTTTTTTCTTATGAGAATGCATACTTCAGCAGGCTTGATGATAGCTTTTTAGAATAGTTGATGTGTGAGTTCTAAGTAATAGGTGGATTGGGACTCCACTTGAATGATGTAGTCTCCAGAAAAAAAGGGTATTTTTTTCCATACTTTATTTTGTAGTTGTCAGCTTGTTAGATTCTTGCCTTTCTTTTACAAATAGTAAAACAATTTAGCTGGTTGGGTTAACAGGGTAATGAAAAGGAATAGGTTTTCAGAGTAATTTTGGAACTCTGAATAAATGGTTAGGGATTGCCTACGAGCTTTTTGGTATTCTTACACAGGGGGATACATGGATGGTTGTAAAATGCAGAAACAAAAAGAAACTGGATGGTTGTAAAATGCAGAAACAAAAGAGACTAAACTTAAAACAACTTTGTGTGTGATTGTCAGTTATTTAGAGGTTTAGTGTTAACGGAATCCTGTCTGAGCTGTGTGCCTTCAGCTTATGTAAGAGTGTTCCGGCAGTGTATTCAAGTAGATCTATACATTTTAATACAGTTATTTTCTTTGTTTCTCTCCTTCCCTCCACACACATTTTTTTTACCCTTATTTCTGCCCCTTCTTACCCTCTGTGGTGCCAACCAAAGTGGCACTTCGCTTCCATTCAGGATGTGGGCAGGCATACAGGCAGCTGTGTCCAGAGCTGATAGCAAAATTGTTCTGTAGATCACCCATCGAGATGCATTTGAGTGGTATGATTGGCAGGTTCTGTCCTGGAGAGCAAGCACATCATCTCTGCAACAGGCTCAGCTGCCAAGCCTAGGAATCCAACCAAGTGCATTCCCAAGCTCAGGCCAGTCAGTTGGCAACGTAAGAGATTCCAGTATGCCAAAAGAGCCTGCAGGTAGTATGCTTATTATTTTTTGACCCCCAAATCCTTTTATTTATAAATTATGACTACCTGGAGATATATAAACATGTACAACTTGAGCTTAATGCAGAGCTTAATTTAGAGCTAGTAGCTGAGATTTAGGATGCATATGTTAAAATTGGTTAAGTGTCAGGTTTGATCTGTATCACAAAAACATTTATAATGAGAATAAAAATAAATTTTGCCATTTTTAATGTTTTTGTCAGGTTTACTTCGTGTATAGCCTTTTTTAACATCCTTAACGAGTTAAATGACTATGCAGGACAGCGAGAAGTAGTAGCAGAAGAAATGGCGCACAGAGTTTATGGTGAATTAATGAGATATGCTCATGATCTGAAAACTGAAAGAAAAATGGTAATTTTTATCATTTTTATACAGTTATAATAGCATATACAATATTTTCACAGAAATGAAGTAATTACTTTGCCTTTTAAAATCACGTATGTTCATTCCGCATGAACTGATTTTCTATTTCACTGCATTTCTTCAAGCTTAAATTATCTCAAGACATTCTTGCTAATTTGTGATCATTTTGGATTTAAGACTGAGGTATGGTAAACTCTAGCCAGCAGGCCAACTCTACCTTACTGCCTGTTTTTGTTTCCTAGTTACCATGAGCTCAGAATGGTTTTTACATTTTTAGATAGTTACTTACATATTGCGGTGGCCACTTTTGCATTATATTAGCAGAGCTGAATATTTGCGAGAGACCATGTGGTTTCCAACACCTAAAATATTTATCTGACCCATTATAAAAAACTTTTTCTTCCCTTATTCTCTATAATCATGTATTTTTCTAGAGATTTTATGTCTTAAAGATTATATTTGAAGTATTTAAATAATATTCTAGGAAATGCGTTTTAGAGAGTTTTTCTCTTCCTGAGTCTTGGTAAAGTTACATAATTAGTACCTTGAAAAAAATTAAGTGAAAAGTCTTTTGGGAGAGGCCTTTAGACTTTACTTGGTGTTTAAATGTAATTTTAAAATTTGTTTGTTTTTTTTGGTTGTTATCACCTTTAGCATCTTCAAGAGGGACGAAAAGCTCAGCAATACCTTGACATGTGTTGGAAACAGATGGATAATGTGAGTTATATTGTTTTCATGTTTGACATAAATTTTCGTAGACTGATTTAGTGCTGAATTCTCTCATGTGTGTGCGTGCTCAGTTGCTCATTGCTGTCCAACTCTTTGCAGCCCCATGGACTGGAGCCCGTTAGGCTCCTCTGTCCTTGAAATTTTTCACACAGGAATACTCGAGTGGGTTGCTGTTTCCTACTTGAGGAAATCTTCCTGCCCCAGGAAACAAACCCATGTCTCCTGTGTCTGCTACACTGGCAGGCAGATTCTTTACTACTGTGCTGCCTGGGAAGCCAGATTCTCTTGTTTCTTATCTATTTGAGTTTAATATTTCTCATTGTAGTAGTATTCTTAATTTGACACTGATGTAAATAGAGAATGTGAGATCATTGTGTCCATTTTCCTTTTTTTTTTTTCCTGTATGGTTCTATACTTTGTACCAACTCTGTAATTTTCAGGTATCTGTAGACATTTAGGAAGAATCTTTTTGTCTTTGTAGTTATTGTAAAGTATTGGTAGAGGATAGAAGTAATAAGGAAATAGTGATATATCTTAGAAGACCATTTGACTAAGACAAAGAGAACCTGGGTTCTAGTTCTACCTTTCCCTTAGCATCTGATGTTTTCATGACTTCATTTTTAGTAAATGAAAAATGAAGACAGTGGACTAGATTATAGAAAATGTTTTTTCCAGTTCACTGGATCTCTAAAAATGTAAATGTAAGATTCTGATCACCAGTGCTGATTGAGAATTCTTAGGTATTCCTATTAAGAATTAAGGATTAAGTCTGTTTTCAGTTTTGTTTTGATTTTCTGATTGGTTTCAGCAAGACTTTAAGGGAGTGTTTATTTATTAAGTTTAAAATTGCCTTAACTCGCACCCTTAGTACTGCCACCTAATGAGTGTATGTGTGTGTCTCATTTGCACAAAATAACAAACACCTACACTCAGGAGTTATTGGTTCCTTTAAAGGCTGGAGTTGACACAAATCATTCCTGTTGATATGTGCTGATTTACCTTTAGAATAATTATTACTAAGCAAAAGTTGTAAGAGTCAAAAGAAAGCATCAAAAAATGTAGGAGAGATTTAAGACATTAACAGTATTGTGAAATAAAGGTGAGTTCAGCTCAACTCATGTATATTGAAAATACCCACAATATGTATTGAGTTTGGTACAAAAGCAGATATGATAATGATCTTGTTTTTGTGGTGCCTGCAGTCTAGTGAGAGAAATTTTTGTGTAATATGGAGAAATACATGCAGGATTCCTTTTCTAGTCTCATGTCTTCATGTCTAATTAAGGAAATATAATTGTAAAATGTCTAACATATTTGAAAGGAGATTTAAAGAACTAGCAGGGATAGATTGAATTAGTGATGGAGTATTGAATATTGAGGGGGAAAAAATTGACAACTTTTAACCCAGGATAAACAAAAGAAGGCCCCAGTGACATTTAAGATGAGGGCAGAAGACAGTAGCCTGTGAAGAAGATTCTGAAGGAATGATCACAGATTGAGAAGAGTGAAGCATCAGAGACTCCAGGTCTCTCAGATTACTGGTTTCAAGTAACAAAGCGTATGACTTTATAAGAACAGGGCTCAAAATCAGATTAGTTCCAGAGTTGGTCAGTAGCTCAGTGATGTCACCAAGGCTGATCTTTCTGTCTTTGTTGCTGTCTTGACCATTATTTTTTCCCTCAGGCTTGTCCCTTATAGTCAGCGGTTGGCTTAAGCAGCCAAACACCACATCCTCATTCAGTTGCATGTATAAGCAAGAAGGGAAGCATTTCTCTTCTGTTTGGTTTAACCAGGGAAGAAAAACTTTCCAGAAAACCCCCAGCAGAATTCTTCATGGATGCCTTTGACAGGATTAGATTCTTTGGCCATGCCCTGGCTCTGGGGTGGCTGGTAAAGCAAGTTATCATCTATTTCCAGCCTCCATACAGGGAGGTATGCTCTTCTAAGAAAGAATAAGGGAATGCAAGTGGCTGTTGATTAGGCTACAGCACAAAGGATGAAGAAGGGAGAATCTTTTCTGTATCATATCATATAATGATATAATATCTTTTAGGGAAGGAGTATTTTTAATATTATTGTACTCATGATTCTTTTGCTGTTGCTAGGGAATTATTAGGTAGTTTTTTTTCCGCAAACAGTAATACACTTACTGTAAAAGTACTTTTGTATATATGTGTTGCCTCAGATTATACCAAAATTAGTAGCTATAGATATTCAGTTTGAAAACACAGCTCTGAACTGAGTTTCAGAGAATTCAGTGTAGAAATGTAATCTTCACAGGAAAGTGACATTCTGCATTTTATGCATATTCAGATATATTTATGCTTTGAATAAATTTTAAGTATCATTTGATGTCTCATACTAATCAAAGTAGTAAGTGCATTTTAAAGTTTTTATAAGAAATTTCTTGCATCAAATTTTTAAGTTTGATGTAACTTACAGGTATTCCTGGTACTAGCTATAAGGTCAGCTGAGCTAACTCAGACATCTTTCGGCTCCAGAGGCATGCATGCTCATACACTTTAGTAATATCCATCTCTTTGCGACCCTGTGGACTGTGGCCCGATAGACTCCTCTGTTCATGGGGATTCTCCAGGCAAGAATATTGGAGTGGGTTGCCATTCCCTCCTCCAGGGATCTTCCTGACCCAGGGATTGAACCTGTGTCTCTTGGCAGGTGGATTCTTTACCACCAGTGCCACCTGGGAAGCCCTTAGTTACAGATACCTAGATATAACAGCTAAAATATTTTTTATTGTATTTTAAGCTCAGCAGAAAGCTCTTACCTGAGAGAAAGGGAAATCTCTTAACTGCTGGAAGCTAAGGATAATCTAAAAGCCAGAGCAGTAGGTGTAAGAGGTGATACAGTGGCATTTGAAAAGTGATTCCAGAGGTGTTGGGGTACGGTTTACAGGTCCTTGCTAAGGGCTTGGGATTTAGTACTCACACAAGGACAGAGTTTAGGTTTTAGCTCTGTGTGAAGAGTTGGAACTAAAATCCCTGTATTAAGTTTGAATCTTTGAAGGGTTAAACCTTCAGTGAAAAGTGACAGGAACTCTGGACAGGCCAAGGGAGATAACAAAGAACCTTGTCTCTATCTGAAGGTCAAGGAGTGGGAGGTATCCTATGAGAAAGTTAAACCTTTTGACCTTGTAGTTAATGAGGTTTGCACTGTCTGAATAGTTTTGTAATGCCCAAGACAAAAAATTGACCTTGTAACTGGTTAAACAGAAAATATTGACATCCTGTGCTTTCTTCTTAGAAATTCTCAGAATAGAGGTAGCAAGGTATATGTTTTCCAGACAAGAAGTTGGAGGAGTTTCCTCTGTGGAATTTGATTAGCTTGAGAGGAAAAGACAAAGATACAGGCACCATGGTTTCTCCAAGGAAACTGCCAGCTAGCTTTTAAAATAGGAAGAGCAGATTGGCAGAAATCTCCAGACATAAACAGCAAAGTATACAGGGGGAAAGAAAACAACTTTGAAGAAACAGTGACTGTGAAAGGAAATAGAAATTAAAAATGAAAAGCAAACGAGCAAACACCCAGAACTATTATTAACATTTTCATAGGGAACAGAGAAATGATTACATCCATGAAATAGGAAAAAGATACTATTAAGAAAGGAACATAACAAAGAACAAAAAAGAACTTAATGAAAAGCTCACTGGAAAGAATGGAATTGAAGAAGTCTTAAAGTAGAGTAAAATGACAGAGATTGAAAATATAGAAAAAATATAAGGGAATTAGAGGACTTATCCTATAGATTGATTTTCAAGATGAAAATCCTCTTAAAAAATAGAAAACATAGAAAATGGATAGGGAAAATTAAATCAGGAAGAAAATTTCCCCAGAATAGAAAGACATGAGTTTCTAGATGGAAAGGATTTTTCAGGTGCCCAGCAGTTACAAGACATAGCTTAATGAAATTTCAGAAAAGTTAAAGGGAGACGATCCAACCAAACTCCAGGGAGGAAAAAACAAAATATAAGATAAACATGTTTTATGCAAACGATCAGGGATCAGGAAGCCAGAAGACAATGAAGTAGTACTTTTACATGTCTGAAAGAAGATAGTTTCCTACTCAAGAGTTTCATACCCAGTTAAACTTTATTAAAAGAGATGGACAGGCATTTTCAGTCTTGGAGACTCAAAAAACTATCTCCCACAAGCCGCCTTTTAGGAAGCTACTGCTGAATGTGTTCTAGCAAAATAGAAATGAACCAAGAAAGGGGAAGGTGTAGAGCTAGAGATGGATTCAAATTAAGGGAGAGTTGAAAGGAATCCCCAGGAAATGGGGAAGGGAAATCCCAAGGTAACAGTAGGGCTAGTTTGGTAATCAGTCCAGATTTCAGCAGGTTAAAAACCTCTTGAGTTCTTTATTTCATTAAGAAAATAAAATTAATAGAATTCTGAATGTATTTGAATTAACTGAGGAGCGGTTTAAAGAACTGGGCACACCGGGGTTAAATTAGAGAAGAGTACATTGGAAACTAAAGCAATTTTTTAAGAAGGAGACATTAATTTCAGGATAAAAAATGTACACAGGAAAGTAAATATATCACATGTTCAGTTCTGAATAGCTTTTGCAAAGTCATGGTAATTTGAATTAAATTTTAAAAAATTTAGGAGCCATTTTGTGCAGATGGTATTTCTTGGGACACATGGAAGAAACAACACAAAACCAGTTTGGAGGGATGTTTCCATATTCAAAGCTACATTGGGATCCCATCAAAAAAACAAACTAAAAAAACCAAGCAAACATCAAACCAATTAACAAAATACATAAGAACCAAACAAAAACACCGAACAAACCCAAAAAGTCCTGCTTAAAGTGAGCTTAAAGTAAAAAATTACAAAATACATGTGATTATTTTTATTATAAAGAGATTGAGATGCATAATAAATATTAACTCAGGTATGCGTATAATTTTTTTCTTTACAGTCTTATGATATCTGATGTTTGAAGTGCATGGTTTGATTGCGATAGTAAAATTTCTTTTCTGATTTAGAAAAATTTTACTTTTAGTATGCAGTTTTACACATTACACAGTAGCAACATCTTTAAGTTACTTTCTTTTTTAAATTGAGTTAGAGTTGGTTTATAATATTGTGTTGGTTTCAAGTGTACAGCAAAGTGATTCAGTTTTATATATATCTATATGAATTTTTTCAGATTATTTTCATTATAGGTTATTATAAGATACTGAATATAGTTCCTTGTAAATCCTGTTGCTTATCTGTTTTATGTATAGTAGTTTGTATCTGTTAACCCCATACTCCAAGTTTAACCCTCTTCCCCCCTTTCGCTTTTGGTAATGATTGAGTTTGTTTTCTATGTCTGAGTCTGTTTCTCTTCTGCATATATGGTCATTTGTATTGTTTTTTAGATTTCACTTATAAGAGATATTATATAATATTTGTCTGACTTACTTTGCTTAGTATGATATTCTCTAGGTCCATCCATGTTGCTGCATATAATAATATTTCATTCCTTATGGCTGAGTGACATCCATTGTGTATATATATAGTACATCTTCTTAAACCAGTTGTCTGTTGTTGTTTCCATGGCTTAGCTATTAATATTATAAATGGTGCTGCTATGAATATTGCGATGCATGTAGTTTTTCATCTTTTCTGGATATATGCCCAGGAGTGCACTACTAGATCATATGGTAGTTCTGTTTTTAGTTTCCTGAGAAAACTGCATGCTGGTTTCCACAGTGGCTACACCAATTCACATTCCTACTATGTAGAACAGTTCCCTTTCTCCATACCCTCTTCAGCATTCATTATTTGTAGACTTTTTGATGATAGTCATTCTGAACAGTGTGAGGTGATAACTTCTTTTTGGTTTTGATTTGCATTTCTCTAATAATTAGCTATGTTGAGCACTTTTTCATGTGTCTCTTCACCATCTGTATGTCTTCTTTGGAGAAATGTCTATTCTGCCCACTTTTTGATTTTTTTTTTTTAAATACTGAGTTGTATGAGCTGTTTGTATATTTCGAATGTTAACCACTTGTCAGTCACATCATTTGCAAACATTTTTTCCCATTCCATAGGTCTTTTCATCTTGTTGATGCTTTTCTTTGCAAAGGCTTTTAAAAGTTTGATTAGGTCCCATTTGTTTATTTTTTGCTTTTACTTCTTTTGCCTCAGAAGACTGATCTAAGAAAATATTGCTGTGATTTATATCCGAGAATGTTTTGCTTATGTTCTCTTTTAGGAGTTTAATGGTGCCCTGTTTTATGTTTCCCTCTTTACCGTTTTGAATTTATTCTTACATATGTGAGGGGGTGTCCTAAATAATTTCATTGATTTACACACAGCTGCCCAGCTTTCCAAGCACCACTTGCTAAAGAGATTGTCTTTTTTCCATTTAATATTCTTGGCTTCTTTGTCAAAGAGGTGTGTTATAGGTATGTGAGCTAATTTCTGGGTTCTCTGTTCTGTTCCACTGACCTGATGTCTTTTTTGTGCCAGTATCATGCTGTTTTGATAACTGTAGCTTCATAGTACTGTCTTACATCTACAAGGGTTATGCCTCCAGCTTTCTTCTTTTTCCTCAGGATTGCTTTGGCAGTTCTGGTCTTTTGTGGTTCCATGTAAATTTTAGTATTGTTTATTAACTTTTAAATGCGATAACTCTAATTTTATTTTTCAGTATTTTAATTTTTTTTAACAGAGTAAAAAGAAATTTGAAAGAGAATGTAGAGAGGCAGAGAAGGCACAACAGAGTTACGAAAGATTGGATAATGACACTAATGCAACCAAGGCAGATGTTGAAAAGGTAAGAAATAATTCAAGCTGACTTTAATATCAAAATATTATTACTTGCATATGGAGCATAGTTACAGTATTCATGTTGGCATTAGAGTTTCTGCAAGAGATACTCTACATCTGATCTAAAATATACAATATTTGTGTACTTTAACTTACAGTACTGGTCTGACAAAGGAAACAAAATAAATAATGTCAACCACATTCAAAGTGCATAGGAAAGACATAATTGCTCATAGGAATGAGCTTCTATCCTATTCCAAAGTAAGATAGAAAGTCTAAGGTATGTTGATAGGGTATGCAGATAGAGGCTGGATAGTGTGCTTTCCAACTTTACAGAAAGGAAAACATGATAAAACTGTCAGAAATGATTTATCACTATTTGTTTATTAGTTTATTCATTCATTCACTCATTTTGGAAAGCTGAATTCTCTCTTGTCATTCACTGAGTCTGGGCCAGAAGTTCTATAACATAACTGTTGGTAGGGTCAGTCCTATAACTGTTGTGGCTTAGCTTTTCCTTCTCCCTTGCTGTATGCTCTTTATCTTAGGATATTTGACACAGTGATAGTGTTGAAATGTTGGAGTTTTGAAATATAGACGAACCTCACTCCGTACTTTTGTATATACAAAGGTCCACCATTAGTATATTTTCTCCTTAGAATTTTATAATATTCTATAGCATCAGAAGAAGAAAAAAGTAAGGAGAAAGGGATAATTTATTTTCTACCTTCCATTTGCTTTACCAATTTTTTAAAAACCCTAAAATCATTAACATTTTAGGTTATAATTACCTTAAAGTTCTTCTGCTGTAACTTATGCTTTTATCTTGTCTACCCTGTTTTTAATAAGTTACACTTCTTATGATATCAAGTTCCCTGTCATTGGAAATATAGAATCTTAAAATAGTCTCTTCATTAAAAAAAAAAGTTACCATTTCCTTATATTGACCCCACTCATCTCTCTGTTCACTTTCAGTTTGTAAAAAAACTAAAATAACAAATCTATTTTTCTCATAAATAGGTAATTTAGATATTTTTAGCAGATTCTCAACCCGTAGATGAACTGTTTGTTTCTTCAACTATTCTACATATGAAATATCTTCAAGTTACCATTCACTATGACTACTTCCATTTAGATATCATTTAATTAACCAATATTCCACTTAAAGTATGTTGTATCAAATGGGGTATAGTTAAATTTGATCAGTTCTGAGTTTGTTTACCTTGCTTGTTTTGAAAACTAAATTTATATTAATTACACCCTAAATGTATATTGTTTTTTTGGCAGTTACCTTAAATGTATATTGTGTATTTGGGTTTTTTTTGTAGAGTATACATTATACCCTAAATGTATATTGGTTGTTTAGATTGACTTTCATTGAGTTTATGGTTAACTGAAATCCCCATGTCTTTTCATACATGAGGAGTTACAAGTTTATGTGTCTCAGACAGAACTTGTACTGTTGGCATTTTAAATGCATATGCTACATCTATGTCAATTACTAGATTTGATCCTGCTGTTAAGGTTTTTGGATCCCTGATTTTGATCACCCACTATATTAATTTCCTTCTAGGCATCATGTAATACACATAATGTGTTAGCATTACTTGATAAAAATGTGGACCACAACACTTGCAAACAGACAGTTTTGTATGTGGGAGTCGGGAGTCTTCCTTGCTGGTTGACACTGACTCCTTAAGAACTCTTCTGATACATCAATTGAATACATAGCCTGTGTACTAAACAAATTAGGTTTAAATGGACTCTCATTTTTAGCTTATTCATTTCTCTCTATAAAGATATCTTTAGAGACTGGTCATACATCTTGAAATCTAGGTATACCATGTCTACTAGTTAGTTTGACCTAACTAGTTCAGAACTTTAATGTTTATAACTTCCTTTTTTTTTTTTTCTTGTTTGCAGCCCCTTTAATTATTAGAGAATTGGGAAAACTTTGAGGATTTACTTTAGACTCTAGAGAGTAGAGGAACTCTGTTTTCAGCGTCTAGGAAGGGAAGGGAACGTAGATTTAAGTAAGTACTGATAAAATTAAAAAACAAAAACAAAAAAAAGGTGAAGAGGGAGCAGGCCAATTAGTGTATCTTCCTAAAGACAAGGAAGGCAGTTGCACAACACTGAATATACACAACACTATCAAACTATACACTTAAAAATAATTAAGATGGATAAATTTTATATTATGTGTATTGTGTATTTTGCCACAATTAAAATTTATTTTTAATTTAATGAAATATAAAATAGAAAAAGAAAGCAAAGGCAGTAGATGGGAAACCAGAATATTTCAGAGAAGGTGTCAGTTGTCTTAGTCTTATACTTTTTCATAACCTGTTGGCGTCTTTCATCCAGGCTTTAGGTATCATAGCCAGTGACTTGAAACAGGAGGCGCCTCCCCTGAAAGAAAGAACCATTGTGGGTAGGGAATACTTGGAATCCTTCATTTCATCATAGTTTGTAGGAGGAGGGAGAAAAGGGAATGGAGTGAAGGAATGTGTTCTTAGAGTCTCAGGTTAGAACTTGAAGTGTATTTTTCTTTAGAAATACTTTGGGAAATGGTGTTTAGTTTCCATAGTACTTATTTATTTTAATCTTCAAGAACACCGTGAATTAAATGGATATTTGTGGACTTATTTGATATCTTGACTACCATGTATTTCTGTAAGTCAGTTTGTTTCCGAGTTCAGAAGAACTAACTTGTGGATCTACTGTTAGAAGGTTAGGGATTACAATTATAAAAACTAGTATTAGAATAATGAAGTGTATTCACAATGTGCTTTTATTATTTTCAGAGAAGTCTCATGTAACGATTTATAGCTTGGAATACTGAGAAACTATATTTGGAGTTTGGAATATTGAGTATTAACTGAGTTTGGAATACTGAGAAAAGAGTTCAATTCTTGTTTTTTTTTTTTCTATTATAAGCAAATGAGAAAATTTTTTAGATTACCTCCAATAAACCTGGAATTAATGATTTGTGTTGTTTGTATGCAAATGTTCTTATTAATATAGGTGGCATTAATGTGATTCATTGGAAAAGCATTTCTGTAAGAGCTTGAGATAAAACTATATTCTAATTAAGCATTCCTTAAAGTATCAATATCTGTTGTTTTGTACAGAGGTAGAAAGTATTGTTAAGCATTACATTATCCCCAAATTATATTTTTACTGTTACTTGGTTTCATTGTGGTTCTGAGTTGAATGTAACTGGATTAAGTTTGAAGAGAAGTTTTACTGCTAACTTTGTAACTGTCTAAATTACTCCTGATGTTTTTTCCTTTTCTGATTAAATGCTTACTGACAAACCACAATGTTGTCATTTATTTAATTAGAAAAACCCATTTGTTAAGAAGAAACTTTATTCGAATGGTTTATTACAAGGGAGAGGATTTATTATTGTAGTAAGAGAAAGGGAATATTGCAACAGGGTGACTGGCCATAAGGGAGTGGACATATGTACACCTATGGCTGATTCATGTTGATATTTGACAGAAAACAACAAAATTCTGGAAAGCACTTCTTCAATTAAAAAATAAAAAAAGATCTGTAAGCATCTCCTTTACTTTTAAATGATATCAGTAGTTAGAAAAAGCCTAGTTTTAGTATAACTTCTAAAAAATGAATTAACTGTGATTTTGTTGCTCCTCTTCTCATTGGTAATGATTTGGACCAATTTGCCTCTAGGCTAAACAGCAGTTGAATCTACGTACGCATATGGCTGATGAAAATAAGAATGAATATGCTGCACAATTGCAAAACTTTAATGGAGAACAGCACAAACATTTCTACGTAGTGATTCCTCAGATTTACAAGGTAAAATTTAGAGATATGAAATTAACCTTATTTTAGATCTGAGAAACCTAGTCTTGAAATGTAAAACTTTAAAATCCCAAGCATCAGTCAGAATGTTTCTAGATTCATCAAAATTGGTAATAAGAAATTTATGATTGATTATAGATGTGAAAAGTCATTTTTTTTTGCTTTGAATCACAAATTTTTCTACAGGTTTGATAGTAGTATATTAAATAATGCACTAAAACAATGATATTTTCTAGATAAATTTTCGTGCTACATTATTAAGTAATGCGAGATGGGAGACTTCATTGGAATTTTGTTTTGTAGTCTGCTGATCTAGAATTTGGATGTAGACTTTGACACTATAACAGGATCATTGGCGTTAGTCCAGATGGCAGAAATAAATTGTAAGAAATGCATTTGCTAGCCTGGTTTTTGCCTGCTTGTCTTCCTAGCTGTCAGATCATAAATGTAATTCAGGCTTATAAACTCCATCCATCATCGTTTAGCAGTTGCCAAACAGCCCTCAGGTAAAGACCCTGGAATTTACATGAAGGTGAAATTATGTTACTGCCTATTCTAGAAAGAAGAGAAATTAGAAAAAAGGGTTTTAGTGAAACAGTGTTGAAAGAAGTGGTACCTGGGAGAGCTGAGCTTATGTGAAAAGTGTACACTTTTCAGTCCAACATGTATACCCATGGCTGATTCATGGCAATGTATGGCAAAAACCACCACAATATTGTAAAATACTTAGCCTCTAATTAAATTAAAAAAAAAGAAAAAGAAAAAGTGTCAGTCCAAAAGCTCCCCCACCCTGGCCAAGCTATTAAAAGAACTATAAAGGAAGCATAGTGAGAGGTAATGGACTAAAGAAAGTATCAAGATACTGGTCGTTTAATCCAGAGCATCTAGTCAGCCAGTCCTCACTCTGTAGTGCTTTTCTAAACTTAATAGCTAAGCCTTCATATTCCAGGGAGACCTTAATTTGGAGATTCACTGCTCTTTTTGTGTTTGGGGGCTTGCTCTTTTTGTTTGGACCTTAATAGGGAGCAGCCTTGCCACTTTGTGTTACTGGGTTCAGTCCTTCTGTGAAAATGCCGGTCTCAAAATAAATTCCCAGGCTTTGGGAAGTAATTAAAGAGGAAAAAATAGTACGAAGGCTATAGGAGTTAGGGGACTTAAGCAGTGTAGTTGCTTCTTAAAAAGAAGAAAGGTCATTGTTGACAAATAGGAAATGTCAAAAATTGCCTTTAAGTTATTTGGCTTCATGTGCACTGGCATAATTCTTAGTAACAGGTGCCAGTGAATTTTTTGAATTATAGGGATCCCATGCATGTACCACTTTGACCTTGCAGCCTATTGTTTTTTCTCTTGTGTCCCCAACCTTTTGACAGTCACTTTGACCTGTAGACTGTAGTAGGTTTGGGTACCTGTTAGTATGTGGTTGACTGTGGATTCTTAGTCCAGTCAGATCTTAGCAAAGTGTTCTGAACTAACCTTAAGGGTTTAAAAGTCTCACACTTGTATATGTTGTATGCCAGCTGCTTGAAAAAGAAAAAAAAAAGTATCAAAATTCTGTTTTCAAAAGAAACTTTACTGAAGAATAAAAGGCAGAGGTTGTATGAAGCAGGGAGCTGGTAAGCTGTAGGGAGTCCCTTATAAGGTTTGAAAACTGGTGTCACCTGGTTTTAGGATATACTAAGCCTTGAATTTTTATTCTTTTGCTATTTCACAGGCCTCAAGTTTTAAGTGCTTTCACTCTGTAGCACTTGTTGAAAGGTACTTACAACAGTGTAACTGTTAGGGGATATCTTTGTCGGATTTTTGTTTGTTGTTTTGGAAGGGAGTTTCTTCAGAATGAAAAGAAAAGTAAATTTTCTTTTTTAAAAAATTCCTAATTATTAGCAACTGCAAGAAATGGATGAACGAAGAACTATTAAACTTAGTGAGTGTTACAGAGGATTTGCAGACTCAGAACGGAAAGTTATTCCTATCATTTCAAAGTGTTTGGAAGGAATGATTCTTGCAGCAAAATCAGTTGACGAAAGAAGAGTAAGTGTTTTATAATTTGAATAATGTATTTGATTTAAATTAATGAAATGGATTGGGAGGGGGGAAGTAATTGATGGATTATTGATTTTAAGTTATATTCTGTAGAAGTAAGTCTGGCTATACATTAGACTCCTTCAGGATGTAAGGATCACTTTAAACACTAAAATTCTAATCATTTAAAAGAGTTCTAATGCTTCTCTTTCTTTTCCCCACTAATTTTTCAGTTCTATTTCAAAAGTATAACTAACCTGTAAACTGTATGTTGCAAACTCTATTATAGTATCATTATTTAAACTATTATTCTAGTGAAAGTTTAAAGAAGGAAATGGTCAGATCTAGAGTTATAAGAGTTGCTTGTAGCCAGAAGAGTTGGCATTTGAGTTGCATTCTGAACCATGAGTAGTATATGAATGATGGCCCATGAGAAAAGAAAGGAGGGCATTGTGAGTAGAAGTAACTGCCTTCAAGAAGCCCTTCTCATGGAGGCTGCAGTCATCAGGGTATATACACTGAGCCTCAACCAACATCCTTGTTTTAGAATCACCATGTCAACTGGGACCCTGAATCCATTTCATTACCCGTTTATCACTTTTTAAAACAATGGGAGTATGGTTGATTTACAGTGTGTGCCAGTCCCTGTGTACCACAGAATGACTCAGTTACACACATAAATACATCCCTTTTTGATTCTTGTCCATTATGCTTTATCACGGGGTATATCGTCCCCTGTGCTCCCCAGCGGGGCCTTGTTGTTTATCCATTCTAGATGATAGTTTGCATCTGCTAACTCCAAACTCCCAGACCATCCCTCTCTTTCCCCTTTCTTCTGTTCATTACCTATCTCTTCAGTCCAATTTAGGTTAAAAGAAATTTACTTTCTTTGTATTGTCTTTCTGGCAAAAAGTCTTAAGATATTTTAATTCTTCTGATCTGGTTCTGAAGATAATTTGAAGTTATTATTCCATCAAAAGAAAAAAGAAGCCCTGCTCTTCTTGAAGAAATAAATTTTATTATTATATCTTGAGTAAGGTCTAGAAAAGGTCTCGGACCCAGTTATTTTTCAGTAAATGTTGATTTAATGACTCAGAAACTGAGGATATGAGAGAAGAGAAAGAGAAGAGAACCAGTGTTTGGGGAGTGCAAAATAGGTACTAGATAATTTAGTCTTCACAGCAGGTTGGTTTTGTATGAGTCAGGATCTTTTCTGTAACAGAATTCTGACTTAAATTTAAGAAAGAAAAGATTTGGGGGGGTCTTTAATTGGGAATTCAAAGCTACATCTTGGTGTGATGGATCCAAGATTAGAAATATAGTTAGGTCCCTCCTCCTCTCAACCTGTTCTTACCCTTTAGCACATGATTGGTGTGGGTGGCATTAGTGACAAAAAAAAAAGTAAGGTATAACTTAAGGATGACTTTTGACTTAAATGATAGGCAAAATGTACTATCAGCAGAAATAGGGAATAAAATAGGAGAGGTGGTTGGAGTGCGGGAGGAGTTTGTAAAGAATTCTGTTTGAAACTAATGAGTTTAAAGTGTCAGTAAAACATTCAGATAGAGGTATATGTATGTCCAAAACTAGCATATTCTATTTATGTGAGCTCTACGGTTTTGGGTAAATGGTGCTGAGCTTTACAATTTCAGTTACTTTTTGCACTCTACTGTTTGTGAGATCTTCATTGCTCTGTTAATATTTCCAAGTATGTCTTTAATATATTTTATTTATCCTTTCCCCTGTTGGGTAAATGGAAGCCTTTCTGCTTGTCTCCTATCCTCTTTTACAGTTAGACACCCTTTCCTCTATTCTGTAAAACAAAAACTTGTTCCTTTAAAACTTGGAATTTCTACTTGAGAGTAACCTCTTCCTATATCCTTTTTTGTCAGTTAGATGTTAAATATCAGCTAACTACTCAAGATGAAATTCAGTGGGTTAAAGCTATGGAGTGAAAACATCCATGACTATTACAAATTAATAAAGTAGCCATTTGTTCATTAATTATTTTTTATAGGAATTAAAGTATTTAGGGATTATTTCATATTCACAGGAATTAATTACTCATTTTGAACCTTTAATAAGTATTGTAGAATTATTTCTTTAAATTTTTATTTGTTGTTTTCTGACATAGATTTAAGATTTTGGAAGCTAATATGGTACTATTCTTGTGTAGGACTCTCAGATGGTAGTAGACTCCTTTAAGTCTGGATTTGAACCTCCCGGAGACTTTCCATTTGAAGATTACAGTCAGCATATTTATAGAACCATTTCTGATGGGACTATCAGTGCATCCAAACAGGAAAGTGGAAAGGTGGATGCCAAAACCACAGTAGGAAAGGCCAAGGGCAAGTTGTGGCTCTTTGGAAAGAAGCCAAAGGTAAAAGTCATTAAATTTTTCTGTGCTGATGATTTTGTTCTAGTCTGTCATTTAAAGTAATGTAGGTATTGGATGGATAATGGTTTACTACTAATAGAGAATAAATATTTTTATTTGAATGATTCAATTAACTTTTCACTTAGTAGAAACCTAGAATTTTGTACCTTAATAATAAGAATTATTTCTGAATTTAACATCATTTAATAATGAGTAAAAATATTAAATAAGTTGTTAGTATCTCTTAAATTATATACTTTTGAAATTTCATTTGTATGTAGTTTCAGTTCAGATTTTTTAGGAATCATGATATGACTGAGATCATTGAAATTGCAGTTCTCAACTGGAATGATTGATCACAGCAAAAATAAATGTCAAATTAGGTCTTATAGATCATGCTAACAGTTATTTTTATCATCTGTGTGAATATTTTTATCATCCACGTGCATATTTAATGGGAAGGGCTCAATGTGTGTAATTATTTGAAGTTTTAAAAAATCTCTAGTTTATTAAGAGAGTCTCTCCCTTAACTTCTTGTCTAAACCCATCTTTTGATGTGCTGTTTATTTTAGATAAATGTAGCTCATTCAGTGAGCAAATGGAATAAATGAGTGTTTAATCTTCTTATCAATTTAATGGCTATAAAGTGTCATATCAGTAGGAGAATAGATAATCTGATATTCTGTATTTGTTAAAGTATACTTGATTATTTTAATTCATTTTTCTGCTCTTGACATATGAATTTAGATAACATTTAACTCAAATTATAATATACCTATAAATATCTTTAAGAGCACAATTATAATTAACTCAAGCTTTATTTATGCTTTTCATAACATTGTTCCATCGAGAAGTTGAGAGGTGAGACTTTTTTTAAGTCAGATCAGAGTAGCTTGGAAAACTTAGATAAACAAGGAATACTGAAAATTTTTTTAAACAGGGATGAAATAGAAACAGAGAGGAAAGCCACAAATGTAATGAATTTTTTTTGCTTGTTTATTATAATAGTTACAGTTTTAATGCTTTATTTTAATAGACATTGCCTGTTTAGATACTGTTAACTATAGCTTCTGCCATACCTCTGACAAGTATAGGTTAAGTGTGACTAACTAGGTGGTTTTAATAATCTAGAAATCAGAAGAGTTTTTTTTTATCTAGGTCATATTGCTCTCTCTAACCTTTTAATTTGTACACTCTGTATTTTCAGTCTCTCAGCTTGTAAAAAAGTGATCAAATGAAATGGTACATTTTTAAAAGTACATTTGACTTTAAAATGACAGTTTTGGCAAAACTGTGTTAAGTTTCTTATATTTACAGAAAACTATTTGAGATATATTTTGTAAGAAGTATGTTGCCAAAAATAGAATTTTCATTTAGGAAAAGAGCTGTGCACACTTGGCTTATTGACTCCTCTCTTTATTTCCGTATTAGCCACAGTCCCCACCCCTAGCCCCTGCTAGTTTACTCACTTCCAGTACTCCCAATGGGTCCCAGTTTCTCACATTCTCCATTGAGCCCGTGCATTATTGTATGAATGAAATAAAAACAGGCAAGCCCAGAATTCCTTCTTTCAGAAGTCTCAAAAGAGGGGTAAGTTTAATCATGGGTTAAAATGCATGATGGCCTATTGTGTGTGTGGTGTGGCTTTTAATACTCTCCACCCTCATTATAAGGCTCTCTCCTATAAATATATAGTTTAAAACACTACAGAATTAAGTATAGCTGCCCTCAAGTTAAAAACAACTCCTCTTTATAACATTTGAAATGCTCAACCATAAAAGAATGGTATTATAAAGAGGGTGCTGGGTACAATCATATTAGCTATTTTTTTTCTTTTTGTTTATGTGAAGTCATATGTCCACCATTGTCTTGTAACGTATTTACATTTTTAAGACTTTCAGTAATTTGTCACTGAAATTATTCATGTAATAATCTGTCACTAATGATGACTTCTGTGAATTTTATAAAGTATTATTTTGTTGGCAAAAAAAATAAAATTCTATTTTAATTTTAATTGCCCTACTTTCAGAAACATAAAACACAATTGCCAGTAGTTAAATTAAAAAAATCAAAGACAGGCATGTTAAATAATCAAGATTATAGATCAAATTAAAATAATATATTGCAAAGTATATTGTATAAGTTATAAAGCCTATAAAAATACTAGATTTTATTGAGTAATGGATACATGGAATTTGTTTTCTTAAACTAAAAAAAAAAAAGTATCTTTTTACCAAAATTTTCATTTTTTTCCCCATAAGCGAGCCTTTGTCATTCACTTGTAACTAAAGAATCTCTTGGAGAAGGAAATGGCAACCCACTCCAGTATTCTTGCCTGGAAAATCCCATGGATGGAGGAGCCTGGTGGGATACAGTCCATGGAGTTGCAAAGAGTCAGACACGACTGAAAGACTAACACAAAGATACTCTGCAAATGAAAAGTTTTAGGATAGTGAAAAACAAATACTAAACTGTTTCTTAGCAACAACTGTTAAATACTACTGATAAATTAGTGTTAATTCATTATGTTAGACTAATTTCTGTTAAGATCTGATTTGAAGGGCATGGTTGTAATATTCATAGCTCGTAATTTAGATCAATTTAGGAGATTAGATATGAGCATTTGTTTAGACATATAAAAATTTTAGGTGTAATAACCCACAGATGAGAACTTTGATAGTTGGGAGTTTGTTAGTGTCATAAGAAGTCTAGTTGTTAACAGCATTGCACTCACTCTTGGACTCACTTTTACTTTCTGTCCCTCTCCTTCCCCTTTCCCTGATGCTACTCCCTTCCTCTCTCCCTTTCTCCCCTTTCTTTTTCCTTCTCTGTCTAGCCTGTATGTTTCTCACTCTTTGGTAACCCTTTCTATCTTTAAATTGCTTTAGTTGGGTTTCTCTTTTGGCCACATGTAGAACAAGATACATATCTTATAGTGCAATATTACATTATTATTTACCTTTCTATTAAAACAGTATGACAAGCTAATTGGTGTTAACAATGCAGCAGAAATGTCCCAGTGTATTACATTCTTTTTGGGACTTCCTTTTTTTTCCGGTAATGACCTGAACTTTGCATTACCTTTCCTAATTCTGTGTGTGAATGTTATTATAGGTTAATTCATGATATTTTGAAACTCCCTGTGAATGAGTCTGTGTTATGCTTACAGGCACTACAGGTGCCTGTATTCAGTTTTAAAAGCTCTTATCACTTGTTTAAAAGACTTTAAGAAACCATACTTAGGATTTTTGTTGCCTGAATTATGAGAGTAGAATTAATTCCCATCTTTCTTCTTTGTGATGACTTAGACTTCATTAGATATTATGCTTTTGCAGAAATCAATGGTAATCAAAAATTGCAATGACTACTTGTAATTTCTAGGAGCCATATTTTTGGAATCTCTCAGGTATCCTGCATATCGAGTCTCCCAGGGCCAGTTACAGTACCCTGCACAGCATGGTCTTAGGGATATGAAGTGCTTACAATTCTGTGAAAAAAGTTTAGTTAGTTAGAACTGTGAGGCCTGGAGAAAGAAGCTTAAATAAGTGACATCTTTATTGTTCCTGAATAAATTCATAGGTAGAATTTTATAACTGTTGAACTTAAAAGTGTCTGTGTGGTCATTATTTATTATATTTCCACATATCACTTCAGCTTTAAATACTAGGACATTTGTTGGGGTAGGGAGGCTAATTCCAGGTAGGCCAAAATGGTTGCACTTATTATTAGTTATCATGCCAAAGAAAAAAGCAGTATGCGAGATAGAAAATATGATAGACAAACCAGCTGGAGAATGGAGAATACAGCAGGAAGTAAAGTTCATTACTTTGGCATTGAGAAGTTTCTTTCTGCTTTGACTGATATTTGGTAGTTTAATAGATAGTATTTCAAAATTGTGTTTTCTTTCCACTTAAGAATTTTCTCAATATAGAAAAGGAAGAAGATATGCTTTAACAAACCATTTATGTGTTTTTATGTGAATTTACATATAAGTCCATAAAACTGAAAAAGAATTATGGTTTATTAAAGCTGATGAGTTGTACCATTCAAATCAGAAACTCTTGTTTTGAGCTATATTTGTTTCATCATTTTTCTTAAATATCTGCTTTTGGCTTTTATAAAAATTTATAATTTCTTTCTAAGAAAACCTACAGTTTCCATTATCTTTCAGGACATGAGAAATGTTATATTGGACCAATGTTTTTTAATTTGATGGTGGTACTGGTAGACTTTTTCTGAGGGATGAGGATCTATAATTTCCTTCTGTGACATCAAGATCTAACCTTAAATAGATATTTAGTGCATACTCAAAAGCTGTAGAAATGAATAATTTTTATTCTAACTACTTCATTAGTGCTTACTGGGTGCTCCTTTTTTTTAGTATATATATATTTATCTAGCAGTAGTGAGTCCGTCTAGCAAATCCATGTTTACTGTCTAAATTATTCATGATTTTATAGGCTTATAGAGTCATTTTTGTAAACTTTTATTATCCAGAATACTGTTCTCAGGATTTTCCTACCTTAAAGTTAAATACATGTAATAATTTGAATTGCCTGATTTCCTTTTTAGCTCCCTTGTATAATTTTTAAGATATAGGAGGTATGTGAAATTTTCAGTATAGTATTTCTCTATTGAACATGAATTGCTTTTAAAAAGACAAAATGTATTTCTAATATTTATGAAGAACTTGAGTTTTTATATCCCCAAATCTAAAGAACTGTGAATTTATTTTCTAATTAATAGTAAAACTAAGTTAGCTAAAAACTGAAACATTTAATATTTCAGTTTTAACTATATTACTCTTTTCTCTAAATTGTATTAATAAAGAAACTGGAAAAATAATTTGTATCACTTAGAAATTTAGCTGCTTGATATTATCATAAAAGATAAATTCAAATAATTTACCTATTTTGTTTCTTGTTGATATGATTTTGTTTTAATAATATTTATAGAAGATCATAAATATCTTATAAAAATTTAAAACTCTAATCTTCTTAACAGGAATTTTGTCATAGCAAAGTAAGTTGTGGTTTTTGTTCCCTGAAACTACTGACAGTCTAAAGAATGTTAAGCTTAATTTGGAAAGATAATGGATAGCATATGTCATCTTTTCTTATCATTGTAACCATTAATATATATGGCCAGTTCATCAGCGATAAGGGGTAGATATTTTTCTCAGCTATTTATTAAAATCTGTATTTTTATGTGAAATTCTACCTTATGTCCTCCATATTCTCTAAAACACCTTGACTTAGTAAACAGGGACAAACAGAAATCTTAGAAACTGCTAAACAAATGCAATGAATGTGAAGATAAACTTTGTAAGTTCTCCTGGGTATTATGAGTCACAGTGTGTGTGAGTATGTGGGTGTGCGCACACACGTATGCATGTGTACATGTGTGTTTAGTTGGGATGCTTGACAGATGCAATGCTGGTTGCAGAACCCTGGGAACCCACAGAACATGGATGATACATAAGCGTGTATATATATATATTTATATATTCATAATATGAGAGAACTCTGCTGTCACATTTTCAGAAAGAATAAATTTTAACTAGTTTTCTAAAAGTCAAACATATATTTTTAGTGTTGCTTTTCAAGTGTATGGATTTCAGAATGAAAACTGAAAAAGAGAAGCTATATCTTCAAAGCAAAATTCAACCCATATATTGTATCTATTAGCAAATATGTGTGGGAAACATGAATCTAGGTGACTCATTATTATTTTGATAATAGTGTGTTTTTTAATGTGTCTGTACATTAAAAATAGACTCTTAAAACTAAAGTAGAAATGTTACCCTTACCTACCCATGACATATTCAAGTTCAAAACAATATTTTGAATTATAAAAATTCAGATGATGTTTAATGCATTGGGAAGAGTATTCCATTCTTTAGTACTACATATATATTTCTTTTAAGTGGCTAATATTAGATCTTTATGTTCAACTTTTTGAGCATTAGGATTTTGAGAATAAAGAGCTGTATATGTGAAATCCACTTATGTAAAAGTTCTCTTAAAGAAGAAAATACATGATTACTGATAAAATCATTACTGTTTACTTTTGAGTTTTAGTTGCACTTAGAAAATATCTGCCCATTATCATCAGTGTATATTTTTTTTTGCAAGTAATTTACTTTCCCCCAAATGTGGTTACAGTTGTTTTTCTGGCATAATTGTTTGGATTGTGAAGTGTACATGATTTATTTTAATATCGTAAAAAAAACAGTATAAGTTATTGCATCTTCTGTATTATGGTTTCATGTGAATAATATACCATTTCTTTCTGTTTTCCATTGAACTATTCAGTGGTCGGTGAAGATGGTAAGCCTTATGTGCTGATCTGTATACTGTGCCAGTATTAAATAATCACAAAACATTGTTTTGTTTAATTTAAAGCAAAGTGGTAAGGTACATCCTCACATGTTACCTTGTGTGTCTTTTCTTTCTATAATCCATAGTCCAACACTTGCCAGTACCTCTGATGTCATAAAATTCAGTAATAATGTGGTTAACTGTAACTCATTAAGCTCTTAAATGTTACTGGGTGGAGTCTTTTCATGTCACAGAGAAAAAATTAAACATCATTTTAAAAGTTACATGGTGGAACAAAAGTTTATGTTTTTACAAAAGGAAAATTAAAAATGATTTTTCTTAACTCTATAAAAAGAAAGATCATGTAAGTTTGATTTGTAGTTTATCACAAAAATCATTAGATTTTCCAAAAAGTAAGAAAGATTTCCTGCTAGTTTCATTAGTCAGTGCTTTCTGTCTACTACTTGAATGGGGATAAAAGTGCAAATAACCTAAATATCGTGTGTGTGTGTGTGTGTGTGTATGCGTGTATGTGTATTATTCCTTTATACATGTTTCAAACAAATTAATGAAACTGCATTGTGAAGACCTAACATAAAAATTATTGGGTGTTTACATAGTTTCTCATTTTTGGAAAACATACCAGTCTTCTTCAGACTATTGCAGTTTGACCTTTTATGAATTACCATGTAGTAGAAGAGGTTTTTTAATGTCTCAGAGTCTTCTTTACAGCCATAGGAAATAGAGTGAGTTTAGTTCTCATTCTATAAAGGAATATGTTATAATGGCAAAATGGGATATTAGAGATTCAAGTGCCTAGCTATTGTTAATAAATTTGAGAACAGTTTCATTACAGATAAGTGAAAAGAAATCTGGAAGATATACTTCTAGAGTGTGAATTTATTACAATACTGCCAACAAAACCATATTAAAATATAATTTTTCATTTCTTTATATTTTTATCTTTGGCACAATATAATAGTTTTCAAACTATTGTACTTGTACCCCAGATTAGATTAAATCTGACAACTTATATTTGTAATTGACCCCTAAATTTAAAGGCACTTTGTAGGAAATTTTGCCATTTATTTATTTACATCAGATTTTTTGTGATTGATGGATTTTTATTTCTGGTGACTGATAGATTAAAAAACAAAAGTCACTTAGGAAAGATGTCCTCTTTTTTTCAAGGCAGGCTTATTGAATATCTGTAATGTTCAGGTCATTTGCAGAAAATTTTGTTATGAATTAAATGTTATATTTGATCATGTATTATCGGAAAAGTGAGTTTTATTTTATAAAAGTAAGAGAAACACAGATGATGAAATAAAGCTGTTTAACTATGTTATAGGCATAAATGGCTCAAAGAGTAAGGATGCATTTGTTGTGGGAGCTTATTTCAGCAACACTTAAAAAATTGAACTTAAATGTTCTTAAAATCCCCATTTTTAAAATAAAAATGAAGAGTAATAGTTGTCATCAATTTTTGAGTATGTAAAATATTACATAAATATGGGCTCATATTAAACAGAATCAATAGTTGCTAACATTGGATGTAGTTGTGTCATCTCTAAGAAGATACCTAAGGTAACAATGACATGATTAACATTTAAGAGGAGAAAGACATCATTTGAATCACAAGTTACATCTAAGTACTAGAATGTTTTCTTAAATGATGTAGTTTTCTTGAATATAAAAACATTAAAAATTTTCAGACATTGAGGATCCTTCCTAAATAAGGATTTTGTCTTTGGATTATATCTCTTATTTCAAGAAATGAGGTATGGTTGTACAGAGGGATAATTGAAAATAAATCCCTTATTGGAATATAATTTTGACTTACATTTCACACAGTGGATAGTTCTACCTTTTATTTTTTATTGATCAAGTATGTTTTGGTCCTAATGAATGGTTTAATAAGTGTAAGCACTCAAAGACTATGTAACATTAAAATATTTTTCATTAGTTAGTTTGCCTTTATGAGGTAAGTTGCTTAATGGACTCAGTTATATAAATTTTAATATTCACAGTCTGAACATTTGTTATATCCTTACTGTCATGGCAATAGATTTGATTTGGGAATGTGGTATAATATGTTATATATAAAATATTTTGTATAGGTGAGAAATGTTATGTGTTTCCATTTTGTTGTTGTTGCTGTAAGAAGGTTCATCTGTATTTAACTCTGCCAAGGCCTGAATATAATGTTATACTGGTAATAACCAGTTATCTGTATCTGGTGGTATTTTTACCTATTCTATTTCATGATTTTATAAAGTGACTGGAATCTGAACTCTTTCTTCAGTATGATTATTTTAATTAACATACATGTACATACATATGTAGATTTCTTTTTCTTGAAAGGAGTCGTTGGGCTAATTTGAAATTAAAATTGATATATATTCTTTCTTTAGGTATATTTTAGAAATAAAATTTCATGAAAATATTTTTTATAATGATTTAGATTCTCTTTTCAGGGCCCAGCACTAGAAGATTTCAGTCATCTGCCACCAGAACAGAGACGTAAAAAACTACAGCAGCGCATTGATGAACTTAACAGAGAACTACAAAAAGAATCAGATCAAAAGTATTTTCCCATTAAGTCCTCTCTGTTATTCCTTTCAGAGTCTAATATGAATGATATGTTTAAATGTGCAGTATAAAAGGCTTAAAAATTATACATCCTAATTGAAATATCTTTTCGGGAAAAACACACTCCTAAATTTTGGAAAATTGTGTGATTGCTCTGTCATATTTTTAAACTGAAATGTTAGAGAGTTTCTTAGGTTCAGATTACTTATTGGATGCTAATAGTGGATGTTTATGTCTTCCATAAAATTTCAAGATAGTTTTGATTTATTATCAAGGGTATATACTTTGATAACTTGTTTTGCTTTGGTATGTAAATGGAGCTCAATAGAAATCTGAGGCTGAAATTACTTTGTTTGCGGCAGAAATATTGGAAAACAGTGATTACTCACAACTGCAGATTCATTTACTCATAGCTTTAATTTTTTTTCAACTTCATAAAGAGTTTCTTTTAGTTCAGTTTTATTTTAGTGAATATAGAAATTTAATATGATGAATAAAGGGTTATTACAGTGATTGGTAACTAATATTTGCTATTACACTGAAGATAAAATTGAAGCTTAAACTCTAACATGAGTGATTGAAGAATTCATATTTGAGAATCATCTGAAGATAGGTGATATTAAAGTAGTCAGTTATGTCTCAGTGAAACTGGAAAAAACAAAGCAATGAGATCATCCTTAGAAAGAAGGACTGGGGGGGGGGGACCAAAAAAAAAAAAAAAGAAGGACTGTAGGATGAGACGAGAAGAAATCTGTCATTTTATGAAATACACTTAAGAATGAACAGAAAAAAAGGAAGAAGCCAGTGAGGGAAATAATGAGATAAAGGTGAAAGGAAGGAAAAAGAAAATACTACCTTCAGGAACTCATTCCAATTTTAGTATGTGTGCTGCCGAAGCAAGCACTACTTCCAGGAAATCAAGGAAGAAAAGAGTATTAGGGGATGTTAGTAATGTCAGATGTTAAGAGTTCAGGAGAGCTAATTGAGGCATAATCTACAGTGGTAAGATTGGAGAAGTGAAGAGGATGAATGATGTGAACTTAGAGAGAGGTGGTATAGATGAGTTGGGAGGATGACGATGCTGTGAAGTAAGATAAGGAACACCAGTGGAATAATGTGTCTGGATGGGGGAATGTAGTGACTTTGATTTGGGACATGATGAGTTTAAGAATATTGGGAAATATTCTTCCAGCCCTTGATTAAATCTATATAATCTCATTTAGGAAGCAAGAAATGAGACATGAAATCTTTTTTAAAAACATTCTAAATGTTTTAAAAGACTGTCTCTATAAATTACTAATATTCAGTATATACATGATCAACTTTGTGCAGATTATCTTTAATCAGGTAATGTTTGATTAAAGTTAAAGAACTAGGACTCTTAAGATTAGGCTGCATTCGAGTCCCCAGAATCAAATGAAACTCTTTCACCTGGAAACATGTGAAGTGAATGTTTAATTTTGTGGCTTCCTTCTCATTTTCAGAGAAGCGCTTAACAAAATGAAAGATGTATATGAGAAGAATCCACAAATGGGGGACCCAGGGAGTTTGCAGCCTAAATTAGCAGAGACCATGAATAATATTGACCGCCTGCGAATGGAAATCCACAAGAATGAGGTAAATTTGTTGTTTAGCAGTTTTCAAAGATAAGTTCATTTTTATAACTTCATTATGATAGATTGGTTCTCGCTAGAATTATCTTCAAATATTTTCTTGTAGCATTTATAATCTAAAAGTAAGGCATCATTATGATGTAAAAATAAGGTATCATCTTTAGAATTGCCTCTCATTGAAGTTTTTTTCTTATTTAAAACTTTATGTGAAACTAAATATTTATACTATTTTTAATCAGCTGTAACATTGATCACTGACCAAATTGAAATAAAGATTTCCCTTCTCTAAGAATTAGATAATAAATAGTAAAGGCTCAAATCACATTTTCAATGTAGAATATCTTATGAGCTTTAAAATATATTTACTGAGCTCAGTTTTACTTGTCTTTCCCTCTAAGGCTTGGCTCTCTGAAGTTGAAGGCAAAACAGGTGGAAGAGGAGACAGAAGACATAGCAGTGACATAAATCATCTTGTAACACAGGGACGAGAAAGGTTATTTTTTGCATTTTATTTGTATTTTTTTCTCCCCCCACCCCCAGACTTTCCTCTTTTGTCCTAAATTTTGGACAATTCTCTTTTTTCCTAATTTGATAAGTTTGGCTTTAAATAACTCAGTCTTTGAACCTAAATAATTTTCTGTTCTTTACGTTAGCTACAGGTGAATTATGAGATGTTATTTTGCGACTCATTTCTAGTTTGTAACACATCTAAAAACAGAGATAGGAACTTGGAAAATTCTGGGAGCTGTAGTCTGGAGGCATGGTCTCCTCAGACCTAGGAAGATTGCCTGAAAGTTTAGTTGGAGTTGGGTAGCTTACACCAAAGAAAAATTTAACTGTCAAATTACTCAGAGTTTTATAAAGAAAAAAAGTGCATATTGCTAGATTGGATCAGGGCTTCCAAAAGACATTTTACTAAGTTTCCATGTTTTCAGACCATTTATGACATTTTCTCCCTTTGGGTAATATTTCCACCCCCACCCCCCCCACCCCCTTATAATAAAATCCAACAAATTTGGACTCAGAAGAATTTGAGAGATCTAGTATCAGTAATTGGTTTATACCTAATTACATTGTAATTTGAGGAAATTGATATTTTAAACAACTTTTATTGCTTATAGTTGATTTATGGTGTTAGTTTCAGATGTACAGTAAAGTGTTTCAGTTATACATATATTCATTTTCAAGTTCTTTTCTCATATATGTTATCACAGAATATTGAGTTGCCTATGCTATACAGTTGGTTATCTATCTTATATAAAGTAGTGTTGTGTGTGTGTTAATCCTAAGATCCTGATTTATCCCTTCCCTTCACATTTAGCAAATTCATTTTTAGTGCTGAGTCTCAGTTTCCTAAAATATAAAATAAAGATTAAAATACCTGTCATTCAGGGTTATTAGTAATGAATGAAATAATGTACACAAAGCACCCAACAGTAAAATACCTGGTAGTAGATGTTAATTCCTCTTCCTTTCCATTATCACTTTTTGAAAGAGTACATTTCCTTAAGCGATAATGGGTTTTTGTTATTAGGTAAAACCTAGATTAAAAGAATCTAATCTCTCTGGTTTGTGTTATTAAGAATTTAGCTTCCAGACATACTGAAAATACTGCAAAATCTAATCAGGCAAATTTTACCATTATTAAAATCTCAGTCATCTGATTCTTCAGCAAAATTAACATTTTTCTCTTTTGAAGTAAAAATTTATCGAAAAATTGTCTTTGGATTGCCTTCTCTTTTGGATTTTCTTAGTTACTAACTTCCTGTTAATGTGATTAACTGGAAATCAATTTTCCTAGGAGTCTTTTGATTTTCAGTGACAGGATGAATCCTCTACCCATACTGACTTAAACAGAAAAGGGATTTTATTGATTAACTTTAGGGAGAGCTTCATCTAGGAATTCAGATGATATCTTCAGTTTTCCATTTCCACTTCACAGTTCTGCCCTCCACTCTGTTAACTTCATTTTAAGGCTCTATATCAGTTCAGTTCAGTTGCTCAGTCGTGTCCAACTCTTTGCAACCCCATGAACTGCAACACGTCAGGCCTCCCTGTCCACCAACTCCCGGAGTTTACCCAAACTTACGTCCATTGAGTCAGTGATGCCATCCAACCATCTCATCCTCTGTCATCCCCTTTTCCTTCTGCCTTCAGTCTTTCCCAGCATCAGGGTCTTTTCAAATGAGTCAACTCTTCGCATCAGGGGGCCAAAATATTGGAGTTTCAGCTTCAACATCAGTCCTTCCAAGAACACCCAGGACTGATCTCCTTTAGAATGGACTGGTTGGATCTCCTTGCAGTCCAAGGGACTCTCAAAAGTCTTCTCTAACACCACAGTTCAGAAGCATCAATTTTTTGGTGCTCAGCTTTCTTTATAGTCCAACTTTCACATCTGTACATGACTACTAGAAAAACCATAGCCTTGACTAGATGGACCTTTTTTGACAAAATAATGTCTCTGTTTTTTAATATGCTCTATAGGTTGGTCATAACTTTGCTTTCAAGGAGTAAGCGTCTTTTAATTTCATGGCTGCAATCACCATCTGCATTGATTTTGGAGCCCCCCAAAATAAAGTCAGCCACTGTTTGCACTGTTTCCCCATCTATTTGCCATGAAGTGATGGGACCAGATGCCATGATCTTAGTTTTCTGAATGTTGAGCTTTAAGCCAACGTTTTCACTCTCTTTCACTTTCATTAAGAGGTTTTTTTAGTTCCTTTTCACTTTCTGCCATAAGAGTGGTGTCATCTGCATATCTGAGGTTATTGATATTTCTCCCGGCAGTCTTGATTCCAGCTTGTGTTTCTTCCAGCGCAGCGTTTCTCATGATGCACTCTGCATATAAGTTAAATAAGCAGGGTGACAATATACAGCCTTGACGTACTCCTTTTCCTATTTGGAATCAGTCTGTTGTTCCATGTCTAGTTCTAACTGTTGCTTCCTGACCTGCATACAGATTTCTCAAGAGGCAGGTCAGATGGTCTGGTATTCCCATCTCTTTCAGAAGTTTCCATAGTTTATTGTGATCCACACAGTCAAAGGCTTTGGCATAGTCAATAAAGCAGAAATACATGTTTTTCTGGAACTCTCTTGCTTTCTCGATGATTCAACAGATGTTGGCGATTTGAATCTGATTTCTCTGCCTTTTCTAAATCCAGCTTGAACATCTGGAAGTTCACGCTTAACGTATTGCTGAAGCCTGGCTTGGAGAATTTTGAGCATTACTTTACTAGCGTGTGAGATGAGTGCAATTGTGCGATAGTTTGAGCATTCTTTGGCATTGACTTTCTTTGGGATTGGAATGAAAACTGACCTTTTCCAGTCTTGTGGCCACTGCTGAGTTTTCCAAATTTGCTGACATATTGAGTGCAGCACTTTCACAGCATCATCCTTTAGGATTTGAAATAGCTCAACTGCAATTCCATCACCTCCACTAGCTTTGTTTATAGTGATGCTTCCTAAGCCCACTTGACTTCACATTCCAGGATATCTGGCTCTAGGTGAGTGATCACACCACGGTGATAATCTGGGTCATGAAGATCTTTTTTGTACAGTCCTCTATATGGTGATCTTCTAAAACTGTAAGCTCGTATTTCTCCAGGTTCGGGTCCATTGGAAAAGGAAGGGAATTTCTCTTCCAATAATCCCAAACAACAGTCTGTTCATCTCTTATATCTTAGTTACATGCCTTCGTGTGAGCTATTCACTCTGGTCATGCAAGTTCTCTGCTAAGATGGATCCTCTGGAACCAGGGCAGAGCAACTGTACCTGAAGCCTGTGAACTGAACATTGGTCTGGGTGGATCCTCTAAGAAATTTTAGTTTTCTTGCAAAAACAGTGGGTAAATTCCTCCATCCCTCTTGAATCTGAGATTTTAAAATCCAACTCTTAATGACATTTTTCCATTTTATCTCTGGACCCAGTGATAATGAGACATATTTACTAAGTACATGTTATGTGCCTAGAACATTATTATCTTTAATTTTTTTAATTTCAGAAAATCCAGCAAAGAAGCATTTTGAATTAGAAGCCATGCACACACATACATATCAACATTTAAGAAAATAAAGGCTTAATTGGGAACTGTGTCTTTGAATTTTAATTCTCTGAATTGATCTTGTGGAGATCAGTTTGTAGATAATATAAAAAGTTCCCATCTTTGTGATACTTGATGAGAGATAATTTTGTTTTATAGTCCTGAGGGAAGTTACACTGATGATGCAAACCAGGAAGTTCGTGGACCGCCCCAGCAGCATGGCCACCACAGTGAGTTTGATGATGAGTTTGAAGATGATGATCCCTTGCCTGCTATTGGACACTGCAAAGCTATCTACCCTTTTGATGGTATGATTTTCTTAATGCATTGTATTTGATAAAATTGGTTCCTTAAAGTCTACATGTGTACTGAGTCCATGTCCTTACAGCTAAATACAATTGCTAGAAAATTATCCAGGCTCATTAGTGTGAATATTAACTACATTACAAATACAGAGATGTTCCTTCTATACATGACATTGAAAGAAAATTGCCTATGTTACCAGTATCCTAATAAAGATTATTGTTTAATTATCACCTTTGGCTGATAACAGAATTTCCCAAAGAGACCTTACTAATGTACTCATCAGAGCTGAAGCTGCTTAAGCATAAAGCTCAACCCAGAAAGTGGAAGGCTGGTAGATACCACTTCATGCTCTTCCTTGTAAGTTGTTAGCATTGAGTGGCTGGTATAAGGCAGATGGCATAGCTGACTGCCACTACCACATCCTGAGTCTGTCAGCCATATTTTCAAATGTTGGAAGGAGAAAATGTAGCTTCTGACTGTGCCATCCTTCTCCTGTGGTAGTTGGAGAACAAACTGAGGGAAGGAAGGTGTGGTCCTGTCATACATTTTTAGTTATCCTTCTCTTTCTTGGACTTTGAAAAATTGTTTCCTTCATTTCACCAAGGAGCAGAGTAACACCTTCATAAAGAAGTTGGTATAAAATGGTTATATGATTTAAGGTCCTTCCCTACCCATCTATGATTTTGGTTTTTAAATTGAGTAATTTTCAGTTATTCCTCATTCTGAGAAAATTGTGTTTAATAAGATCTTGTAATATAGACAGGAAGGGAAGAATTTAGCATAGTTAAATAAAGATTCATTTGTGAAAATTGTTACTGTTAAACAGCTTGGGAATGGCTAAGGGATTGGGAAGAAAGAGAGGCCTGAGGCTGATGAGTTTTAAAGGAAGTTTGTGCTTTATGACTATGATCCTTCTGCTTCTACAATCATATTCTTCCCTTACTTCTTCCAGCCCTTTCACTGTCTTGTTACTCTTTTCTTGATCTAAACTTCTTGAATTTTCTAGATAGCACTGCCACTCAAATTTGAGGAAGGAGTTAGAGTAGTGAAATATAGTTCGTGTACCCTGTCAAATCATACAATATTGTTGTAGCTCAGATATTTCATCTTTCACGGTTCTGCTGTTAATGCCAGCCTCACAGGGTTATTGTGCAGTTCAAACAAGATAAGTATATGAAAGTGTTGGGCAAACTACAAAGCGTCATGAAGGTGTTGGTCATGAGAGTCAGTGTGCTCATAGTTCTATTATATCGAAATCTAGCAGGGTTTCACATTGTTTTGTATTTGTAAGTTTTATTCAAAGTTGTTATGCTTAAATTATGGTTGTGCTATGAAAACTCTCATTTAGGACATAATGAAGGCACTCTGGCAATGAAAGAAGGTGAAGTTCTGTACATTATTGAGGAGGACAAGGGTGACGGATGGACAAGAGCTCGGAGACAGAACGGTGAAGAAGGCTACGTTCCCACATCATACATAGATGTAACTCTAGAGAAAAACAGTAAAGGTGCAGTAACTTACATCTAAACTAATTGGCAACTTTGTAACACATATGACATAGGAATGATAACAAAATGAAAATACAGTCAATGGGTGGGAACACATAAGAAAAATTAAAGGGCATCCAAGATTTATTGTTCACTATGTGAGCTGAGCGTAGGCTCGATCTTAAGAGATGTATTACCACAAGAAGCTGTTCTTGTGACGCTTTACCATTTGAGTGATGTTGATGTGAAGCTTAATTGATGCCTTTTGCTCTGTGTTCTGCTTAAGTCTGTGTGAAGGATTTGTGTTTTTCTGCCGTATAAATCATAGAATTTGATCTACTGGGCAGGAATCCATAGATAGAAAGCTCCCTACCCCGTTACACTTTGCTTCAAGAAACACAGTGATGGTAGTAAACTCAAGTAAAACTGCACTGAAATGCTTGCTAATGCCCAAAAGAGTGGTTTGGTATATAGGAGTTTGAAATTGTAGCTACAGTTTCTAGGAAAAAGTAATAATAATTAGCTAATGGATAAAATACGAATGTAATCATTTTCATTTTTGTCCCTGTTCTTAATTTTGGTTTCCTAAAGGAAGAAACAGGCATGTAGCACATAATCTATTTTGTAGTAGGCTAATCAAGAGATGTAAAATAAATGGGCCTGGTCTTGCTCTTAGGTGAATAAAACGGCTTTCTTTTGAGACCCAAGGATATTTTCAGGTTTTCTAGTAATTTTCAGTACAAGCTTTCTTCTGAATTAATGCTTGTATTTTTCATCTTGAAATGTCTTTTGAGAAATGTCACTTTAGTGATACTAGCATTTAGCAATTATACATAGGAAAGTGGATTCTAAATAAACTAAGAGGAAATCTTGCATGGTGGGGAAGTACTGGCAAATTTTGCCTGAAAGAAAAAATGACTTTTTCACTAACTGGGTTGGAGGAGTATATCTGTACTATCATTGAGGGCATTTCCTCATTTTAACTGAATTTTCAGTTATTAGGATAGTTTTTTTTCCAACTAATTTTAATAAGCATTTGTGGGAAACACTGTACAGTCAAGATAGGCAGTGCTGGTTGTTTAGGGAAGTAAAGTGAGGAAGCAGTTAAGAGACTGGTCTTTAGTTTTGCTCATGTTCCAGCATTTTTTGGTGTTTTTAATAGCTGACTATAAAATGATTTTAGAGACATTTGGGATGGACGCTTTAAACTGGACATCCCTTTTGGTCTTACCAAAGGTCTTCAGTAATTGTTCTTTTCTTTTTCCTCCTGGACTGCAGGTTCCTGAAGAGGGTTTCTGAGGAAATGGGCAAGATGTTGAAGGAGGTTACATGCAGCTGCTTTTGGGGGGGAGGTGTTAGCGTTTTCAGGCTCAGAGAGAGTGAGAGAAGCAAGTTGCATGAGTGCATGCAGACATGATTATTTTTTACTAACTTCATTAGCATTTCCATGTGTTGTTTTAAAAAATCATTGTAATACCAACCCTTAAATTTGTCATTTATAGCTATTCATAAAAAGGGAAAAAAGCCAGCAATGGCTAACCTTTTTTTCCATCTGTTTTACTGATGTTCAAATTGGAAAGAATGCAGAGCTCTTATTAAATTTGACTGTCCTAACAGGACTGTCTGTCCCAGCTCTGTTTTAATTGGCTTTTAGACCCATTGTCTGTCAGAATCCTTGCCATTTGTCAGTGTCTGCCTGTGCCACCTCTGTGCTTGCTTAACATCCTGTTGCATGTCTAGAGCGATCGGGTTTAGACTTTTAGGCATGTCTTTATAATCCCTTGTTCTTGTCAAAGCCTTTGTTTTGCTTTACATTTGTAGTGCAAATCACTTTGTCAGACATCTCCAGCACTAATGTTCCACCCTAGTATTTGTGTACGCTGCTATAATGTCCCCACTACAGAACATTCCAGTTTTGGCATTATGAAGAAGTAGTTTGTGAACCTGAAGTATTTATGATCAGAAAAAGAAAACATCTCTGCTCTAGCCTACAGCCCAGTTGAAAGAACTCTTTGAAACAGGATCGATCTTCAGCCCCTCAGTCTGGGAAGAATCTATAGTCAGCAATGAAATCCTGGCATAATAAACACAGAAGATACTCACCGCCTCAAGACAAAGGACTGTTGTCAGAAGTCAGCTGCTTCCATTCAAATGCTGCCTTAAACTAGAGTGCCTAAATCTGTTGATTGCCAACTCTACCACTACAGTATCCCACAAAGGGCTTCATGTGTCAGCTCAGTGCGACCTCCTTTAACTTGGCAGTGCTGCTGCAGCTGCCATACAACCTCCATAGGGGGCTTTTAGAGCTCTGCCACGTTTGATGGTGCATCTTCAAATTTACACATCAAACTAAAGACATGTCCGAGTCCATTTTATTTAATCAGTGTTTTCAGTGAGAAGTTTTATGGACCTCTCCCCTCATTGTCTTTTAATTTGGGCTTACCGTGTTCTCATTTAATTATTACAATGATAGTCTGTTTCCAAGTGATGATTTTATTTGAACTGGATAAAATATAGTGAAACTTTGTAATGATCTATGTGCACTTTTACTTGTAAAATGGGAGTTTCTGTATGTTTATACTTGTATATATAATTGTCATCAGTGCCCCTATTGCTCATGTTGTCCTGCCTTGCATTTGTGATTCTGTTAATGACTTGTATCTTAACTGATTTCTTAGTGGCATTTAATAGGGAGGTGGGTGGGGGGAATATTTGTAACATGGAAGATTGATTAATTTGGTTCTTTACTGTTTTGAGGGAAGAAAGAAAACGTGAAATGGTCTATGTATTGTTGGATTTCAAGCAATATTTTAGAAGCTGTGTGATTGCTTTAATAATTTTCCCCAGTGTTATTTGAATTGTATTACCAGTTATATTAATACTAAAGCTGAATGACAGTTGTGTGAAAGTGGATGCCATCGTAAGATCAAGTATGCTCCTATTACACAGCTGACATACAGTGTATTACCTTTAAGGCTAGTAAACTATGAAGTTTTAGATTTTAAATCTTGTTACAGGGTTATTTATATAATGTGACATTATTCAGTACTGACAGACTACATAAAGTAGTTTTAAAATCCAGTGCTATTTTTATTTTCAAGGTTAGCAGTGAAGAGGAAATGTGATCTGGCTCTGTGTCTTCTGTACAAAGCCTAAAGTGCTTGTGTTTTTTTGGCTAATAGCCACAGAGGGCAAAGTTTAAGGCTTTCTTGTGAGGACTAACTGTTCTTTTCAAGCTACTGTTTGTTTTTCTTAAAGCAGGATTTGCTTCTGTAGGAGGCAAGTTCCTTCATGTGGAATAGTGCAACCTGTTATATGGATTATTACAATAAGGAAGACATTTGTACTTGCACAGTTTAAATCATTCTTAAATTTGAACATGTGAATTGTCCAAAAGAAATCTTTAGTTTTTCAGTAATTTTTACTCTTTCTGTGCACATGTTGATTTCTTAATGTAAATGCTTTGTTTAAGATAGTGTTCTCTGTTGAGAATATTTTCATGGAATAAAATAATCTTTTCATGGTCCATTAAGGTGTATAGAATTATCTCTTACTATCGCTATGTGAATTAAAGAGATGTATTGGTTTTGTTATTGAATGTGCTGTGCCCCAGGTAATACAACTTAGATGGCTACACTCCATAAATGGAAGCATTTGTGTTGGGCAACAAGTTTTGCAAAGCAGTTTTGAAAGTTATATTCTAGGTTTAGTTTCTCTCAAGCTTTCTTAAAGAAAAAAAAGTTAACTTTCTTCACAGTGAATAATAATTTGTATTTTTTAATCTTTGTTCTACAATAGTTGTGTTAGACTTTTTTACACCATCTTATCCTCTGCATCCATAAGAACTGTCCCTATACTACATAGCTTGATCTAGTCTCAGGCTGGTCAGCATTTCCCATGCTTCATGGCATCTCAAAACATGGAAACAGAATGTTGGCCACAATTAGTGTCACATCCATGATTTTAGAATGTTTTAATTTCAGAAGATTAACCTTTTTTAAAAGGGCAAATACAAAACTATGACTAGTAAGTTCTAGAAACTGTAAAAAGGAATGAAACTCAGAGTTGATCCTGAACAATGAGGGGTGGTAATTGTTGAGATGAAAATTTAGAGATCCATGCCAAGCTTCTAAGTAGGGACATACACAAAACAAAACATCAGGAAAACAACGCCTATCAGAATACTCAACAATGAAAAGGACTTCTATCTGAACCAAAATCAAGGAAGTCATATCCTACTTGGTAGGGAAAGATAACATCCTTATAGCAGTATTAAGGGAAGAGTAAAAGGAAAAGGGTCTCCAGACTTGTTGTAAAGGATAGATTTTCTTTGTGAAGAACATATTAGTGCAAGTGAAAAAAATTAAAAAAAAAAAAAAAAAACACCACCAAAACTACTTCAATGAGCTCATATACCCGGGATCAAATATTGGGTTGGCTAAAAGGTTTGTTTTTTCCCATAAGATGGCTCTAGCAGTGCTTAGTTTAACAATTATGTTAGATTATATTGTAACAACTGTCATATCAGCATGCATTATTTTTGTGTAGCCATTTTATTTTTCATTTATTTTTATTAGTTGGAGGCTAATTACTTTACAATATTGTAGTGGTTTTTGTCATACACTGACATGAATCAGCCATGGATTTACATGTATTCCCCATCCTGATCCCCCCCTCCCACCTCCCTCTCCACCTGATCCCTCTGGGTCTTCCCAGTGCACCAGGCCCGAGTGCTTGTCTCATGCATCCCACCTGGGCTGGTGATCTGTTTCACCCTAGATAATATATGTGTAGCCATTTTAATACTGAAGATGGAAGGAAAAAAGCAACAATTTAGGCATATTATGTTTGTTATGTTAAGAAAGGTGAAAACTCAAATACAAAAAAAATGCAGTGTATAGAGAAGGTGCTGTAATTGATCAAATGTGTCAGAAGTGGTTTGTGAAGTTTTGTGCTGGAGATTTCTCTCTGGACAGTTCCATGGTCTGTTGGACCAGTTGAAGTTGATAGCAATCAAATCAAGAACATTATACCACACGG